AATAATTGGGAGCGAATGAGAAATGTGTTATGTATTGTGTATTAAACTTTCGAAATCCATGAGTCTACACTGATAGTAGTATAGATTTTGAAGGAGTTTGATAACAAAACATATCATGTTCTCAGTCGAGGGAACCTTCAATGGGCTTGTACACCTTAGTAGAACTTTTAACTCAAACCATGTTTATAATGATCCTTTTATACATAAATAATGATTGACGACAAAATTCGATCGAAAAATTAACTGGAATGTTCTATTTTTGGACATAAATAATAGTACCTTCTGAAAACGGACCGTCTTATGACGTAGAAACCTCATCTCGCCATAGTTAAAACAAAATACCAAACGACCGACGGAGACTGAGGCAACTGATATATTAATTCTTTCAACTGTGATCTCGCGCTAATTCACTCTATCAGAAATCATGTATCATTCATCTCTGTCTGGAATAGTCTTGTTTTGGTCCCTTGCTAAAGCGGTCGGAAGAAATTTCACTAATAGTTCATTTCCACCACTGTCCAAATCCGACGGCACATTAGCAACAACATCGCAGGAGAAAGCAAATATTTTTGCAGAGATGTTCGCAGCGAACTCTACTTTAGATTCCCAAGGAAAAGTGCCGCCAGACATTCCACCCGTTGAGAGTCGAATGCCCGAAATCGTCTTCCGTCAACGCACTATCAGACGAATTTTGCTTGGTCTCAAAACGAATAAGGCTAACGGTCCTGATGGAATTCCACCCATTATCCTCAAAAAATGTGCACCAGAATTAACACCGATTCTCTGCAAGTTGTTTACCATCTCGTACAGGTCGGGTATTTTTCCATCATGCTGGAAGACAGCTAGAGTCCAACCAATCCCCAAAAAGGGGAACAAGAACCTGCCCAACAACTACAGGCCCATTGCCCTGTTATCAGTAATCTCTAAAGTGATGGAGAAAGCCATCAATATTGAGCTTATCAAATATCTGGAGAGCTCAGGAATCATCAATGATAGACGATACGGCTTTCGCCACCGAAGATCTACTGGAGATCTACTTGCCTACGTCACCCATTTATGGCAATCTTCAATAGAAAAACACGGGGAATCTCTAGCTGTCGCGTTGGACATTTCGAAAGCATTCGACCGTGTTTGGCACGAAGGACTCCTCCACAAACTACCATCATACGGCTTACCACCTCAGCTATGCCATCTCTTATCGAGTTTCCTTTCAGGCAGATCGCTTCACGTGGTGGTGGACGGTGTATCGTCTGATACCTTTGGCATCAATTCCGGCGTTCCACAAGGATCAATTTTGGCACCAACATTATTCCTGCTTCATATCAATGATCTGTTGGGAGTAACAACATGCCCCATCCACAGCTTTGCAGATGATAGTACCCTCCATACTGCGTTCTCTTCTAGAATTCCCATTTCTTCCCAGGAAACTAAGAACTCAAGGCGCAGGCAGGTCAATGCTGTCAATGAAGATCTTGCTGAAATCACAGCCTGGGGAACAAACAACCTAGTTGAATTCAACGCCACCAAAACTCAAGCCTGCATTTTCTCTAGAAAGGCGGAACTCAGTATGCCCGATATTGTAATGTCTGGCTCCACCATCCCCACCAAGCCCACCATATCTATGCTCGGTATTTCCATCAGCAACACTCTTTCATGGGATAATCATGTCAGATCCATCGCAAAAGCTGCTTCACAAAAACTCGGATTCTTGTTCCGTGCGAAAAGCTACTTTACACCTCAACAGCTTCTCATGATCTACAAAGCGCAGATACGGCCTGTTCTAGAATACTGTTCCCACATATGGGGTTCAGCACCAAAACATACACTGATGCTCTTAGATTCCATCCAGAGAAGAGCCATTCGCCTGGTGGGTGACGCCACACTCACTCACTCTTTGACATCATTGGAACACCGTAGAAAGGTCGGCGACCTTTCACTTTTCTATCGATACTTCCACGGGAAATGTTCTTCGGAAATCTCTGCTATCATCCCTTCACTAGCAATACCAATCAGACGAACTAGACAAGCCCAGTCAGCACATCCTTTCGTTGTCAACCTCGAAAGATGTCGAACAGCACTTTATCAAGACTCCTTCATCCATAGAACGGCTAGGCTCTGGAATTCATTGCCTGTGGAAGTATTCCCAACAACATATAATCTCCAAAAGTTCAAAAAAAATTCCAATACCTACCTCCTGTCCCTATCCTCCTTAGGAACGCACGATGTTCTTTGAACATTATAGGGATTCCCTTTCGTGCGCTCCAAGCGATAAAAAAAAAAAAAATTAGGGTTTTGACGTCACATCATCGCCTCGTTTTCAGAGGTCCGAAAAATCGGGGATTTCAATAATGTTTTATAAAACGTAGGGAGCTCACAGCAAGAAACGGTTTTGGTGTGGTGAGCTAGTTTGGGTGAGTTCTATCGAATTATGGAATAATTTTTATCTGTGATATAAGCCCATTATAATCAAGTTATCAAGAAGATGTTAGAGTCCTGTCGTTGAATAAAACATAATAGGAGGAACTCATAATGTTATAAATCATTCTTGACGAGCAACCAGCATGTCCAAATATTTCTTATTCTCCATAACATCATGTGAATGTTGGACTGGCAACATTTTGCTGAATGCTGGGAACTGACAAGACCACGCCCACAAGTCGTGCGCCTTGGTTGTCACGTTCACCGATTCAAATGTCCTCTAGTGAATTCATTATAAGCAATAAGCCACAAATCATAAGGGAACATTTTGAGACAATTGAATTTTTATTGCTAATTGAAGGGGCAAGTGGAAGAAGGGGTCAAGTAACATTTTTTGAAAATATTCGGTTATGTCATGGAAGAAGGTGTTACATGCATATGTAACTTGCCCTGTCAGGATTGGTTCCTATTCTTCATATCTGAGTAGATACACAGTGGCAGAAGGGGCTATGTTACACTAAACATCATAAACGCAATGGCAGAAGGAGCTATGTGCCCATTATCTACATGTCAGGAATCGGAAGAAGGGGTTATGTACGCATGAATCATATGTATATAAGAAATTATATGATAGCAAAATGCGGAAATCATTAAAAAGCAACCTAAAACTATTCCTCACAATTGCATAAATCAAATCATTAAACTAGCGTTCATTAAAAAATGCCAGCGAACTCTACTAAAACCTATTTTTCTCACTAACTCATATTTGTAACATAACTCCTTCATCCACTTGCCCCTTCAATTAAGAGTATTATCAATACTCAACTGAGAATTTATGAATTATCGAATAACTAATATTTCTGAAATTCCCAATCGTATTTCAACACATAGCAACTGTGCTGTATGGTCTGCCCCTACTTATGAAATCGTACCGTCAGTTTTTACTGGCGGTAAATTTCTAGTGGTTTGAAAATAACCGTCTTATTATTGATGATTCAAGCACCTAAAAATCGGCCAAAAAATTCTTCAAGAATATGAAATTGAAAGGTATTTGAGTGATGATTCTTTGCCTTGTAACAGAATCCTACGAGCTGTAGAATCCTATAGGTACTTTGACTATTTGGGTACTATAAACGCGACCTACAGAAACCTACTTCTTTTGATTAATCGCTAATAATCCGTCAATATGAGCAGAACTAGATGGCGCGAGCAGTACCATTCTATTCCGAATATTGAACAGTATTGAATTTTTACGATTCTGTTATTTCACGGATCTAACATTTTACTATTCTGCTGAATTACGGTTCTGATAGTTTACGATTCTATCACAATACAGTATATGACATTACAGTATGATGAAGTACATTCTGTCATTGTACGTTCTGATATAATATGATTCTGATGGAATACGGTCTGTTGTATTACGAGTCTGTCGATGTACGGTTTTAGCATTTTACGATTCTTTCAATTTACAGTTCTGATATTTTGAGATTCTGTGAATATGCTGTTCTGATTTTTTGCTATTCTGTCAATGTACGGTTCTGACATTTTACTATTCTGTCGATAAACGGTTCGTTGTATTTCGATTCTGACAAAGTACGGTCTGCTAATGTGCGGTCTGTCATTCTGCGATTCTGACGAATTACGGTCTGTTGTTATGATTCTGACGAAATATCATTCCGCTGTGATTTTGGTTTGTTAGTTTTCTATTCTGTATATTTGCGGATCTGCGATATTGCTATTATAGAAAAATACACATCTGCGCATTTGCAATCTATTATTGTCTGGTATGCTCATGTACAGTATACAAAATACGGTTTGAGGGATTGCGGTTCTGTGCATCTACAGTAGAGATAAATACGATTCCTATAAAATATTGTTCTGTTAAGTTACTGGTTTGAAAATGTATATTCTGATGGATTACGGATCTGCGATTTTACATTCTGGTGATCTGTGTGTTCCCAACATGATTGACTCGGTTTTTTGTCGAATTTAGAACTACCGACTTTTTGCCAATCTAGTTTCTTGTCAGCGAGCTTTCCAAAGATATAGTGGCTTTAAATCAATAACCTTTTGGATTCATCTTGTAAAAGTTCTTTAGTAATCTTCCCAAGTGTTCCTGGTATTAGGTGAGTGAAGAGTTTTCGATTATAGATTATAGCCAATCGAGGAAAGGTGCATGTAGCTTTAGGTATGGCAAAGGCCGAACATTCACTTGTTAAACCATGGTATTAGTTTTTAGTCTGTGTCTTCTACAAGCTCTGGCGCCCCCTTCTTACATGATAAACGACATTCTACAAAGAAACACTCTTGAAGAACCACATTTATTTACTCATTCCCTGAGAAAAGTCCCCTCCCGGTACAGCCTATTGGACTCGTTCAAGTCGTACTGTTGGCAGTCCAGCAGTTTGGAGGCTCGCACCGCCTGCTGACCTGCCAGTAAGCAAAGCCTTCTAGGCACTGGTACAGGTACCCCTCCATGGTACCACTAAAGCTAAGCGATCTGCGGCACCTGCAGAAGCTGTGACTGCACGCAGCACTGGTATATCAAAAATGTTGTATAACTTGGAGGTTAAAGAAATAATGTCATTTTAGATTTCTTCAATCACTTTATTACTTAGTCATTACATTATCCTATTACTAGTAGGTAATTATATTTATAATGGCAATTTGATATCGAATTTCTAAAACTATGAATGACGCCCATATTATATGAAGTTGATTCAATCAACACAGAAAGTACAGAATTTGAATAATGAAAAATAAATATAAAATAAATAAACCAAAACCAAAATACCCAAGCGGTATAAAGAGCATTTCGTCAGCTCATATACCGCTAATTTTTACAATGAACTAAACGTTAGTTCAGAGGAAAAAATCAGTCTGCAAAATATTCAAATTCGACATTTCCATGGAGAAAGAAAATAATCAGAAGTGAATGTGTACCAATCTTCCAAAATCCATGAAATTACACTTCTAGAAGTATAGATTTTGAAGAAGTTTGATCACACAACGTGTTATATAATGTTTTCAGTCTAGGCAGCTTTCAATTGAAGAGAGCCACTTGATAATTCATCATATTCTATGAAACAATCATTTCAGCTTCAAATTGGGAATAAGCATCTTCAAGATACGAATGAACAGATTCAAATTGATCTACACAAATACACATTCAACTTGAGATTCCAATCGATCTTAAATAAATAACAGTAAAGAGGAGAATCAATACTCAATTGAAAATAAAGCACTGTCACAGTAATCAACAAATTCAAAATATGGGAACCAAAGAACTTTGGACACTCAGAATATCGGCTTGAAATTGGTCAATTTTTGAAATCTTCTGGATCGCACCAAGCACCAAGGAATGTCTTATCATTGGAAGATTGCGAGACAGATCAATTATGAGACCCTGTATGTACGAAGTTTCATTTTTTCTATTGAATTAATCTCACTATGAATGTGTCCATGCACCATTTCAATGTGCTTTTCTGATTTCAAATATTGAATTCTTATTTTTGACAGCAAATTCGAGAAGTGCCATCAAATCGAATATGTTTTATTGTGTTCATTCTGAATTTGATTGTGCTCATTAACAATTTGTTTATTCCTAATTTGAATGCGTTCATCGTCAGTTGAGATTTGATTATTCACATTTCGAATGCGATTATTTGTAATTGGGATTTGATTATTCTCAAATCGATAGAATTTATTCTCAATTAGAGATTTTTCCGTCTCCTGTACGAAACATTCATAGTATCTACTGGCACCGACCAATTGGACTGGGGCAAATCGTACTGTTGGCAGTCCAGCAGTTTGGCGGTTCTCTCGCACCGCCTGCTGACCTGCCAGTACGCGAAGCCCTCCGGGCACTGGTATAGGTACCCCTCCATGGTGCCTCTGAAGCTGAGCGATCTGCGGCACCTGACGAAGCTGCGGCTGCACGCAGCTGCTGGCTGCAGGCCGTGGTAGCCTTCGGCGGGGCAGAGGGGGTCGCGGTTGGTAACTGGGATCTGGAACGATGTACAGAGGGTTGATTATCAGTTCAAGTTCAAGTTTATTTCGTCATTTTTGATACAAATTGTATATGTGACACGTCGAAAACAAAAACAAAAAACAAATATACAAACAAAGTACTCATGAATAGTACAGCAAATACATCTCATACTCTTTGAGGGAGTAAAAGCAACTTGTTAGAAGATATTCTTTGAGGAGCTCTTTAAATTTCATAAGGTTTTTCTCTTCTTTGATGGTTTGGGGAAGTATATTGAAATATTTTGTTCCTGAGTAATTTGGGAATTTTTTATACCCGCAATAGTTACATTTGGTCGAATGGAAATCATTTCTGTTCCTTGTAAAATGATGATGGATTTCTTTATTCTGCATGAAAGATACGGAATTTAAATGAACATAAATTAGCGTTTAATAAAGGTAAATGCATGGTAGTGTAAGAATACGGTTATTTTTAAATGTTTCTTTGCAAGATTCTCTATATTTGACATCAAAAATCAGACGCAAAAAACGTTTTTGCATAATGAAGATCCGATTTACATCTGATGCTAGTCCCCAAATGGAAATATTTATACTTATTTTGGAATATACCAATGCATAGTAAATGTCCAGTAGATTATGATTGAATTTTTTTTTTTTTGAATTTGATAATTTGTTGTGTTCCAAGGAATTTTGTACAGTCTGATAGTTCTAATCGCGGATCAATAGGAAGTGGACGATAGTATTTGTTTGAAAATTGAATGAACGTTGTTTTATCCAAGTTGTTTATCAAATGGTTACATCTTACATCTACACCATACTTCGAATTCATCAATAACAGTTTTTATTTTATTATTCATTTCGTTTGGACTTGGGGAAGCTACAATGATGGTAGTATCATCGGCGTACATAAAAACTCGGCCTTCTGTTATATTTTCTGGAAGATCGTTTACGTATAATAAAAACAGCAGTGGTCCAAAAGTACTCCCCCTTGCGGTGTTCCCAAGTCCACATCAAATGGATCTGATATGTGGTCATTTACTTTGACTACCACTTTTCTATTACTCACATATGACTTGAACCATTGGTTTAGTGATCCCCTGATGCCCATTTTAAAAAGTTTCTCACCTAAATAATGTGGGTTTATAGTTTCGAATGCTCGGCTAAGATCGAAGAAGATCCCCATTGCATAATAATTTTTGTTGGTATATTCATAGATATATTGGATCATATCGGTTGACGCAGTTTCAATGGAAAAATTGCTCCTGAAACCGTGTTGGGAAGATGCTATCAGGGTTGCGTATATAATATACAGTGTGTCCATTTAGTGCGTAATTCTTCGATATCTCGAAATCAATTATCACAAGAGGAAAATTTTGGAGAGACAACTTTTTCAGTTACTAAAGTTGCTCATTTCAAAAATATTTCCAACAATACTGGGCGTTTTATAAAAGCGGGGCAACTCGAAGAAGAGTTTTTTTAAATGGAACACCCAGTATTGTTCATTCGAAATTTATTCCGCTAAGGTTCATTGATTAGGAGATTCAAGATGACGGATCCAATATGGCAGATTTTCTGATTATGATCCTATTCAAAATTAGTATTTGGGGGTTCTCGAGATCGGAGATTATGGTTCCTTCGTAAAAATTGGAAGATTCAAGATGGCGGATCCAATATGGCGAGAGAGTTTCGTATTTATGATCCCATTCTATTCAAAATTGATATCTGGGGGTTTTCGGAGTCGGAGATTATGTTGTTGAAGTTGAAGATGACGGATCCAATATGTGGCGGACGAGTTTTGTGATCATAATTTGATTCAATTCAGAATTTGTGAGTGAGAGTGAGTTTTCGGGATCGGAAATTATGATTCTTTCGTCAACATTAGGGAATTCTAGATGGCGGATCCAATATGAAGAACGAGTTTTGTAATTATGACCGTGTAATTACCGCTATAATTGGAAAAATGGTAAATCAAAGCTTGCAGCTTTCAGCTCATTGAGTAGTACTCACCGGTACCATCGCGTTATCATCCAGCTTCCTATACAGACTCCTGGTCGCTATTTGTCCATTACAAACCTCCGCCTCTTCCCTCGGAAGACACTGGATCCTCTCTTCGTCGTATACCAGCCCATCGGGGCAACTCAGTACCAGAATATTATAGTCGTGCGTACTATCTCTCGTGGTGCACTGATAGAACAAATTGCAGTACTTCGGATGCCGTCTAAAACCTGTCGGACACACCAAAGCCACCTGGTGTCCTTCCAACTGACTAATAGGGCACGGCTCAGTGGTAGTACCGTTAGGTGCTAGCGTGGTCGTACTCTCAGTAGTACCCTCTGTACCGGATGTCGTACTTCCCGTGTTGACGGTACTCTCGGTGGACCAGCCAGGTGGAGTAGTACCAGTGGTACTCTCAGTGGACCAAGTGATTGTGGTACTGTCGGTGGACCAGGCGGGCGGAGTAGTACCAGTGGTACTCTCGGTGGGCCAGATGTTTGTGGTTTTGTCGGTGGACCACGTAGGTGGAGTAGTACCAGTGGTACTCTCGGTGGACCAGGCAGGTGGGGTAGTACTCTCGGTGGACCAGATGTTAGTGGTTTTCTCAGTGGACCAGCCTGGTGGAGTAGTACCGGTGGTACTCTCGGTGGACCAGGTGTTTGTGGTTTTATCGGTAGACCAGCTGGGTGGAGTAGTACCGGTGGTACTTTCGGTGGACCAGGTGCTCGTGGTACTCTCGGTTGACCAGGTGGTACTTTCTGTTGACGAAATGGATTCCGTTGATGGTGGGATGGTTGAACTTTCTGTTGAAGCGCTGCTGTTGTCTGTCCACTCGGTGGTACTCTACAAAACGATAATAATATACCGTGATGTTGAATCTACAGTGTCATTCATAAAGTCGGCATCATATGGGAGGAACTTTTAATAATAATTCATTCCGAAATTAGACTTGGGCGTTTAGTTTTGCTTTAGAAAATATGAAAAATGGACTACGTGTTTGGGGTCACGTGACTTTTTCTACAGTTACATTTTTTCTAATTATTTGCTGAAAATAGGTTTATTATTTGTTCGAATTTCAAAAAAGTTCACTGAGCGAAGTTGTTTTTATTCCAATTTTACATGATTATGTCTTATAACATCTTAGTTTTAGATTTTTCTCAATAACGAAATGTCTGTAATATTAAAGAAATAACAGCAACAAAACTATTTCATTCTAGTAGTTTTTTTTCTTCTTCTTTTTATAGCAAAGACTTTCAAAGAACATAGAGAATATAGTCTTGAGAATGAAAAAAATAGCTTTCTGAAAGAGAAATCAAAATGTTTCAAGAGAATTCACTGAAGAAATACCTATATCTTGGTATATTAATCCTATTTTAATTGCTATACAAATACACCAATACAAATATGCTCCGTTACAGACCTCAGAGAAGGAAAAATAAAGTATAATAATAAAATTAGTGACTAGAGAAACGGTCAGCCAAATTATATAGTTATAAGCATATTATATATTGCCCAAGAAAACAGTCAGAGACAGAAAGAAACAAATTATTGATATTACTAACTTCCAATCTGTAATTATCATAGAAATCATATCAGTATATATAATATGATTTCTATGGTAATTATCGACAAAGATATGATTTTCTCAAAAAATGAATGAAACTTTCCTTCTCAAAATGACCTGAAGAACCATATATATGCTTCATTATGAGTACATGAATTAAATTACACCCTGTATATATAAAGATATACATTGAGAAATCGCATTCCCTTTGTGATTTTGTGATAAAAATATCAATTCTTTCTGGGTTTTTTCAACATGAAACAACTACTTTTCTGGCTATATGCCGCGACGAACATTGAATTATATCTATTTGAGACACACGATAAGAATTTGAATTTTTTTTTTTCTGAAATTGAAAATTTTGCATTCTCCCTCCCAGATGAAATTAGGTATATGCACACAATATCATTCTGAATAATCAACAGAAAACAACTACTTTCCTGGCTATTTGCCACGTCGAACATTGAATTATACACAGAAAATAATTGTGTACGTAAAGTTAATGAACGGCGGTCGTAAATTTTTTGAACATTAAATGGGTTCATACCGCAAGACACTGAAACAATGAACGAGTCAACATTGAACAATGAACTAAAAACATCAAAAGTTAATCATTTTTTTTATTCATGTGATGAAAAAATTCATTGAATCAACGTTTGATGTTTATTGATCTATGTTTTTCTTCATTGGAGCAATAAACTTTTCGTCATAGATCTATCAACAACAAAAATAAGGAAATAATGAATGGTTTTCATTGTATCAATGAACACTAAACGTTGATTTCATGAAATGAAATATCAATTTCCAAAACAGGCGCCAAATTAATGCTGCCTACCCATGGATCAATCACGCCAAACATTATTACTATGAAGAGGTTTCATAATACGCGGTGAATTTTTCATTTGCCGTTTTATTTTATTTCTATTCGTTCAGTTGTTAATGAAAAGTTGGAAGGGCTGGATCGTGTTTTGTGTTTCTGTGGCTCGTAGAATTCCTACCTATTTGTGAAATTGTGCCAGATCAAAGGGATACAAAACCTAACATATTTGAGAAAGGTGAGACCTGTTAATTGCGATTTTTGCAATTTTCAGGAATTTAGGAATTTCAAGGCATTTTTGCGATTTTTGCAGTTTTCAGGATTTTTTGCAATTTTTGCAATTTTCAGTAATTTTTGCAATTTTCAGTCATTTTTGCGATTTTTGCAATTTTCAGGAATTTTTGGAATTTTTACAATTTTCCGGAATTTTTGCAATTTTCAGAAATTTTTGCAATTTTCAGGAATTTTTGCAATTTTTGGCATTTTTGCGATTTTTGCAATTCTCAGGAATTTTTTGAAATTTTTACAATTTTCCGGAATTTTTGCAATTTTTGCAATTTCCAGGAATTTTCGCGATTTTTGCTATTTTCAGTAATTTTTACGATTTTTGCTATTTTCAGGAATTTTTGAAGCAGAAATGCTTCAGAAAATATGCAAATATACTGGGCATTCCAATTGAAAAAATTGATTGAGATGTTACCAGATCTAGTAACCTAACCTAAGATATGTTACCAGATCTAGTAACCTAACCTAAGATATGTTACCAGATCTGGTAACCCAACCTAAGATATGTTACCAGATCTAGTAACCTAACCTAAGATATGTTACCAGATCTAGTAACCCAACCTAAGATATGTTACCAGATCTAGTAACCTAACCTATGATATGTTACTAGATCTAGTAACCTAACCTAAGATATGTTACCAGATCTAGTAACCTAACCTATGATATGTTACTAGATCTAGTAACCTAACCTAAGATATGTTACCAGATCTAGTAACCTAACCTAAGATATGTTACCAGATCTGGTAACCCAACCTAAGATATGTTACCAGATCTAGTAACCTAACCTAAGATATGTTACCAGATCTAGTAACCTAAGTATTGTAGTTGGGCGGGATGGTCTTGCGAGGAGAATTCTCAACAGATTGGCCTTGAAGGAATATGGACGACCTCGATGTGTGGGGATTACGTCAATCATGTTGTTAGCTACTCAGAGAGATAGAGTGAGACAGTGATAGCCTTGAGTTTTGCGTAAATTTCTGCAATTTTCAGAAATTTTCTCAATTTTCAGAATTTTTTGCGATTTTTGCTATTTCTGCAATTTTCAAAATTACGATTAGGATATATTTACTCAGCAAACATTGAACTACCGGGAGAATTCCGGCCTAGTGCAGGCAAGTGTGAGAAAGTGTCGATGCCGGTGTATTGGTAATGGCCGATGATTTCTCTATGCTAAGTAACCATCAGTTGAAAATACGATGATGGCCTTGTGATGGCATGATGTATAGAATGAGTTGAGTACTAACGAGTTGTGGCCTCTTGCTGGCAAATATCCTGTTCACTACTCGTCCCACTGGTGGATTTTCTGGGTACGTACATCAACAATCAGCTGATCATTTGGATAATTATTATATGTCACTCTAGTGATAGCGTATGTTTCGTTTTTCTCTGGTTTGTTGTCATATCATTGTGCTCATCACTTTCCCTGGTCGTTATAATGGCAGTTATGGTGGCAGGAGTATTCTCAATTGATAATATAGAAGATGGATTCTTCAATGATGATAATATGTATTGAGTAAGTATATATCTGTTGAACATCCAGAAGGAAAGCATTAAATATAAAAATCCCCTAAAATGGAGAATTGACATTCTCAATTAGGATGGTCAACAGATATAATTCAATGTTCGTCGTGGCATATAGCCAGGAAAGTATAGTTGTTTTCTGTTGGAAAAACCGAGAAAGAATTGATATTTTCATCACACAGAGAATGCGATAGTATCGACAATTCTCCATTTCACTATTTATTGTTTGGATTATATGAACTTCATCTGTGTAATATACTTATATTTAAGACTTTACAATTTATAAACTTTAATGAATGTAGTTTGTATATTAGGATGCCCTATTTGAATAAATGATTATTATTATTATTATTATTATTATTATGCGATTTCTCTCCTCTCCTTTATATATGTATCCATCTTTTCATGTTCATAATTTACCTGAGAATATTCTTTCTCAAAATAAAATATAATAATAATAATAATCCCCGCTTCAAATTTCTGTTATGTTTGATGCAAAGTTGATGTCAATCATTCAGAAGCAAAATTTATTTGAATTGAGTTTTTCAGTACTAAAATGATGCCAAAGTCGTCTATCATCATATTCTCAAACTTCTTCATGTATCTAACCATGCAAAGTTCAGGACAGTTTTGTCGAAGTTTCAGTTAGAAGAAATTGAAAAATTTCACTGTGTAAAATAGAAATAGAACCAACATTCTCGAAATTCGAAACAAATAAGCACATTTTCAGCGATTAATTTGAATAAATGTAATTTTCTATATGTAGCGAAAGTCACGTGACTTCAATCAAGTAGGCCATTTTTTATCTTTTTTTAAGCGAAACTCAATGCCCAAGTGAAATTTCGTAATAAATTATTATTCAAAGTTTTTCATATGTGATGTCAATAGCTCTATGAATGACACTGTATACGAAGATTTTTGCGGAGTAAATCAATTGCATATTTGACAACTCACCCCTGTTGAAGATTCAATATCAATGGTGACATTGGAACATTTTCCAGAGACGGCCCAAGGGTAGTTGCACGTTACTGCTTGAGAGTCCCATACGGTGCCTTTTCCACAACTGAACACGTATTTTATCAAGCCGTTGCCACCAGAACTAACACATCTGTGAAAATTTCCAGAAAAAGTCAGTAAAGTATTGTCGAGAAGCCATTATTGCATTGATTATTCCACCCTTGATCTCGATAAGCAATCAGAATCGACCATTTTCACGGTTTCTTCTGTATCTAGCGATATTTTTTGTTTATTAAATTTTATCGGACTTGCTGTACCAATACAGAAGCCGAATTGACCCACACGTGACCAACAAACTTCGTTTATCAGCGATGAAATTTTGATATCGTGTCTGGTCAAGATTGCTTTGGATTCAAATCTGAGACAATAACCTAAGTTCCTACTTTATTTTATTTACTTATAATTCGCGTTAGTGAGATATTTTGTACGAAAGGCGAGACAATTTCATTCTGGCTGGACGTTTCATGTGTAATTCAAAAAGTTTGCATATTTGTTGACAGGGTGACACAACAATACTAGAATTCGAATTCCTTTTTAAAGTAATCTTCTTCAATCACTCCAGTGATTGTAACTGACTAATACAATTACCAGTATAATTATATGAAAATTTTTCGCTGCTATGGTAATTTTCATCTGCATTTATCAAAACCATATCTACCAAGACTTTCAAGGTGACAGTGACAACAACGATGCGATACTTCCCGGCCTAGTCCGGGAAGTACAGGGTGATTCACCATAAATGTCCCCCCCTCTAGCTCAGTTATTTTCAAACCGATTTCAAAATTTGAAATATCATCCTGAATGATTTTTGATAAAGTTTTTTTCCGCTACATCAGAAAATACAAGGTGCTCGGAACAAACGACATACAGGGTACTATTTGATTTTTTCATATGGAACACCCTATTTTTCATTGTATTTTTAGATTCTCCCTGAAGATCTAATTTGGTCAATGTATAATACTTGGGGTCTAGCGGGAATGATTACAGAGGTAAAGGGTGGACAAAATCGAGATTTTTCAACTTAAGAATTTTTTTTAGACGAAACTATTCATCATCGGTCAAAACAGCTTTCATGTCCATGTCTAAACTTTTGATTTACTATCTACTGACATTTAATAATTGGAACAGATCAGAATTCTGAATCTTGAACCACCCTGTAAATGTTCCAATTGAATGTCAGTAGACAGTAAATCAAAAGTTAAGAAGGAAACATAGAAGCCGTTTCGACCAATAATGAATAGTTTCGAGACAAAAAAATCCTAAACTTGAAAAATCTCTGTAATAATTCCCCCTAGACCTCAAGTGTGATACATTGATGAAATCAGCTCTTCAGGAAGAATCTAAAAATACAATGAAATACAGGGTGTACCATTTGAAAAAATCAAGTAGTACTCTGTAGATCATTTGTTCCGAGCACCCTGTATTTTCTGATGCAACGGGAAAAAAAATTCTGGACAATCATTTTAGATTATTTTTCAAATTTTTGAATCGGTTCCAAAATAAGTGAGCTAGAGGGGGGGGACATTTATGGTGAATCACCCTGTACGTACGTAAGTAGGCCAGAAAAACAGCGTCCGGGAAGTGAGCACTTCCTGGATGGTTGCCGAAAAAATATATTTCTACCAACTTAAGTAAAATCAATTTGTTCAAAACTGATCAATTGAGCTACTATCGACTTCATCATTTCTTCGTGTAACTAAAGTGACTCAATTGTGTTTTATTCCCTAACAATGTTATGGATATGAATCATAATAGATAGGTAGATAGATAGATAAATTTATTTCAACAGAGTATTCTATAATCATTCACAAAAGTGGCAGAATATTTTTGTCTGAGAAATACGTCAAGAAGAATAGGTTAATACATGAATTTAAAAATAATATGAAACATTCACATGAGTTTATGGATATAAGTTTCAAACACTATCAAAACAATTTAAAATAAGTGACATATTTCACATGTAGATTTAAACAGACATAAGTACATAACTTTTCAATAAATACATATATACACATAGATAGCATGGTTTTGAATAAAAATTTCATTCATGGGTTCCTACAGGCCAGAAAATATTCCTCGATACTGTAGGGCTCTAAGTTGCATAGAAATTCCTCAACAGACCTCAGAAATCTGACAGCAACCACATATCTTTTATATCTTGTGGGAGGTTATTATAAAATTTCATTGCACTATAGATAGTACTGCGTTCATAAATGCATTTTGCATGGATGGGATTTGAGAAGCCTTTCTTTTGTCTTGTATCATAGATATGTGTTTTCCGATGTGTGTCGAAATGTTCTGGATGATTGATAATGAATTTAATAAGCTCAAAGATATAAATTGCTGATACAGTCAGGAGTTTTTTTGACTTGAAAATTTCTCTACAGGAATCTCTTCTATATATCTATATTGTAAAGTATCCTGATCATTTTTTTCTGACATAGAAAAACTCTGTTCAGCCGTTGATTGATATATTACGCTTAAATCAACGGTTCAGCCCATGACTTGAGCCCCAGATGATTATTCCTAGTCTCATAGCAGAGAAAAAATTTGCATAATATATACTGTTATCAGTGCTTCAGGGTCAACATTTTTTTTCAGAACTCTCATGGCATATGTTATCGAGGAATATTACTACATATAGGTACTATCGAGTTACTTGTAACAAAATATATACATACCAACTTTAGTGGAATCAAGTTAGTCAAGAATAATAGTTTGAACTACGCACCAACTGCCTCATTAATATTTTGCGTAATTATAGTCGGTATTTTGCATTTAATTTAGCGTAATCTTATCCTATAGTAGTTTTTCAAATTTCGGTGTGAAATTCTACCACCGAATACCACTCTAGCTTCAATTAAAAACCTTCCTCGAAGTGAAAGTCCTATATGGAAAATGTCTTATACGGTATGGCTATCCCAGCTCTATTGTTAGACCGATAGAGCTCCACTTAGGTACTCCCAAGGATCGATGTGTTATTGCAGTTTCAGACAGTTTTTTTCCTATATCATGAAAAGAAATGTTCTCATAGAAAAGTTATTCAAAACTCACCTGTAAAATTTACTGCAATCCTCTGGATCTCCTAAATATCCTTCTTTATTACAGTTGGATCCGATTTCGCTCGATACAGAAGTGGAGTTCCATGAAGAGCTCTTGAAATATCAAAGAATTGAATCACAACAATTGTTTTAACTAGGTTTATCTACAACTGTCAAGTAATGATCATGATTTGACTCTTTTTCGAGCGTCATAATGACGTTAATTACCGCACTAATGCTTTTTTGAAACTATTACCGCACTAGTGCGATGATGAGATAAGAAATAAATGTCAACCAAACCAAAGTTTATTCCGCATCTTCAATATCGGATGGTAGATCATCTTCACTTGAAGACTATCTCACTCAAGAAACTTAAAGATGGTTCTGGATATCGATCTGATAATTTGATTTAACATCTATAAACGGCTTTGTTTTCACCTACCGTTGCTACGGTTACCAAAATGATCACAGGCAACTTGTGTTTTCAATTATCAGAAAACTGTCATGAGTAGGTACGTCGAAGTGGAATATCAATGAGGTACATTCAAAGATAGTTATTAAAACGTTGACAGTTGTAGATAAAATTTAGAACGCAGGACTCAGCATACCTACAGCTAGACGTGATATACACAATTTTCATGAAGAATTACTGAAAGATAACGACCGGACTCCAGGTTACTAAGGAGGGTTTGAAATCCGCAATGAGTTGATTCGAATAAAGTCATATATTGATTGATGATGATGAACTCTGATCTTGATGAGCTTGAAACTTCCAAAAAAATCATTCTTATCAGTGATATGGAATTATATCTCAAGCTCATCAAGATCAGAGTTAATACTAGTATACTTCTCCTATACATTTCAATTTTCATTTCAACACTGAACATTGGTAAGTTATATTTTTATATCATGATACATCATATTATTTATCAGATTTGAGAGATCATCAATTCTCAATTTCGAAGGCTTCTGATTTTTCATGCTCTCTTTTTGAATGTTCAACAGATATAATTCAATGTTCGACGTGGCAAGTAGTCAGGAAAGTAGTTGTTTTCTGTTGAATAAACCGAGAAAGAATCGATATTTTTATAACATAGAGAATGCGAATTCTCAATGTATTACTTTATATATATATACAGGGTGTTCCAGACTCAAATGTACATATGATACTTGCAGATAGAGGACACTTCAATAGTTTCAAATCACCCCCTTTTATAACTGAGATACAGGACGTAATCTTGATTTTGGCAAATTCTTCATCTGGTTATAATTTTTCAACCACTTTGTATAATCTATTCATACTTGGTAGAAATATTCCACTTATATTACACATCAGAACAAAATAAAAATCGAGATCAGAATCCAGGTCCGTCTTAAGGAAAAACTGAAAACTATTTTTATTTCAAAAACAACACGCTGTATGGCAAAATTTTGTGGATCTGTTTCCATATTTGGAAAGAGCGGAAAGAAATGAATAGAGTGACCTACTTTGCACGAGCGCGAATACAAAAAATAACAGGCTTTCAAAGTTCAACATCATTAGAGTCGAATTAGGTGAACTATCGATAGAAAAAATAAAATAAAATAAATTGTCAATGATTTTATGAATTTTCGAGGACTCATTTTATTCATCACAATTTATTCATAAGCTGCGGTAAAGTAGGCTGTGCAAAAGAATTTCAAATTCTGACTCTTCATAATCACTAGTGTGATATTATTGGTAACGTTTAAGGTAATTGTGTTATGGCATAATTATGAACACTTTGAAATGTAACAACCCAATACGAGCACCAACAATTATCTTAACTTTACCAATAATATCACAGTAGTGAGCATGAACTGTCAGAATATCAGATTTTTTTGCACAGCCTACTTTACCGCAGCTAATGAATTAATAGTAAAAAATATAATGAGCCCTCAAAAACCATAGACTAGTTATATTCTTCCAAACGATCAAGTCTATCGATAGTTCACCTAATTTGACTCTCTTGATGGTGATCTTTGAAGACTGTTATTTTTATGTAAAAAAATTGGAGTTTGTAATAAGATTTCAATAAAAATGCATCAAAATGAAGCTTAGTATTTCAAAAAATATCAATAAAACATCTGTCAAATCAGATGCGAGCTCGTAAAAAATTTCCCGCTCTTTTGAATTATCGAAATAGATTTACGCAATTTTGCCATACAGAGTGTTGTTTTTGAAATTAAAGAAATTTCCTGTTTTTTCTCAAGACGGACCTGGATTCTGATCCCCATTTTTATTTGATTCTAATGGGTAATATAAGTGGAATATTTCTATCAAGTATGGATAGATTATACGAAGTGGTTCAATAGTTATGACCAGATGAAGATATTGCCAAAATCAAGATAACGTCCTGTATCTCAGTTATAGAAGACGGTAGACACATCAATGGGGAATGGGGGGTCATTTGGAATCATCGAAGTATCCTCTATCTACAGGTATCGTATGTACATTCAAATCTGAAACACCCTGTATATATATATATATACCAATTCTCGTATAATTTATCTGAGAATATTCCTTTACAGTTCCTAGTAAACTTTTCACTTCAGTTCATTGCATGAATTTCCTACCTGATTGCTCTGTCCACTGCAAGGCTTATCATTGCCCTGGTTATTGGGTGAACCTTGATTATTTCCCTGTTGGTTATTGCCTTGATTGTTGTTTTGCTGGTTTCCTTGATTACTGTTCTGCTGATTTCCTTGGTTATTGTTTTGTTGATTCCCCTGATTGTTCCCTTGATTTCCTTGGTTATTGTTCTGTTGATTCCCCTGATTGCTTTGCTGATTTCCTTGGTTATTATTTTGCTGATTGCCATTCTGCTGACCACCAGCACCTTGATTGTTATTACCAGAAGATCCACTATTCTGTTGATTAGATCCTCCTTGGTTCGAGGAACATTTTCCTCCAACCGCCCATGCGTGATTGCAAGAGAGATTACTTTCATCCCAAACTGTTCCAGGACCGCAAGTGTACTGATACTTCTGGAACCCTTTGCCATCATTGACACACCTGTAAAACTTAGAACAGTCGTTTTCATCAGCGACGAAGCCTTCTTTGGAACATTTTCCTCCATCCAAAGATCCTGTGTTGTTCTGTCCACTGTTGCTCGATTGGTTATTGCTATTTCCTTGATTATTGTTGCCTGACTGATTATTGTTACCAGACTGATTGTTGTTGCCAGACTGATTGGTGTTGCCTGACTGATTATTGTTGTTACCAGATTGATTGTTGTTGCCTGACTGATTATTGTTGTTGCCAGATTGATTGTTGTTGCCTGACTGATTATTGTTGCCAGACTGATTGTTATTGCCAGACTGATTATTGTTGTTGCCAGACTGATTGGTGCTGCCAGATTGATTATTGTTACCAGACTGATTATTGTTGCTGGACTGATTATTGTTGCCAGACTGATTGTTGTTGCCAGACTGATTATTGTTGTTGCCAGACTGATTATTGTTGCCAGATTGATTATTGTTGCCTGACTGATTATTGTTACCAGACTGATTATTGTTACCAGACTGATTGTTACCAGACTGATTATTGTTACCAGACTGATTGTTGTTGCCTGACTGATTATTATTGTTGCCAGATTGATTGTTGTTGCCTGACTGATTATTATTGTTGCCAGATTGATTGTTGTTGCCTGACTGATTATTGTTTCCAGACTGATTGTTGTTACCAGACTGATTATTGTTGCCGGTCTGATTGTTATCAGGCTGATTGTTGTTGCCAGATTGATTATTGTTACCAGACTGGTTATTGTTGCCAGACTGATTGTTGTTGCCTGACTGATTATTGTTGTTGCCAGACTGATTGTTGTTGCCTGACTGATTATTGTTACCGGACTGATTATTGTTGCCGGACTGATTGTTGTTGCCAGACTGATTGTTGTTGCCAGACTGATTATTGTTGGTAGACTGATTACTGTTGCCGGACTGATTGTTGTTACCGGACTGGTTATTATTACTCGACTGATTGTTATTACTGGATTCATTGTTGTTTCCTGACTGATTATTGTTCGAAGATTGATTATTGTCACCCGACTGGTTGTTATTATTCTGCTGTTGGGAAGAACATTTTCCTGATACAGCCCACGCATGATTACAAGATAAGTTGTCTTGATCCCACACAGTACCAGGTCCGCAGGAATATTCGTATCGTTGGAATCCACCTCTACCATCAGCAACGCATCTGTAGAACTTCGAACAGTTATTTTCATCTCCCATGAAACCATCTCTAGAGCAACTGGCTCCAATTGATGAGCCTTGACCATTGGTATTGTGTTGGTTGTTGCTTCCTTGTTGATTATTATTCTGTCCGTTGTTTTGTTGATTATTATTCTGATTGTTTCCTTGTTGATTGTTGTTCTGATTATTGTTGCCTTGCTGGTTGTTGTTATCATTATTTCCTTGCTGATTATTATTCTGATTATTATTTCCTTGCTGATTATTGCTTTGATTGTTGGTACCTTGTTGATTGTTATTATCAGTGTTTCCTTGTTGATTATTATTTTGATTATTGCTGCCTTGTTGATTATTATTATTATTATTTCCTTGCTGATTATTGTTTTGATTATTGCTGCCTTGTTGGTTATTATTATCATTATTTCCTTGCTGATTATTGATTTGATTATTACTACCTTGTTGATTGTTATTATCATTGTTTCCTTGTTGATTATTATTCTGATTATTGCTGCCTTGGTGGTTATTATCATGATTATTTCCTTGCTGATTATTATTCGAATTGTTGCTACCTTGTTGGTTATTATTATCTGAATTTCCTTGCTGATTATTATTCTGATTTCCATTACCTTGTTGGTTATTATTGTTGGTATTTCCTTGCTGATTATTATCCTGATTATTGTTGCCTTGTTGGTTATTATTATCATTATTTCCCTGCTGATTATTATTTTGATTATTGCTGCCCTGTTGGTTATTATTATCATTATTCCCTTGCTGATTATTATTCTGATTATTGCTTCCTTGTTGGTTATTATTATCATTATTTCCTTGCTGATTGTTATTCTGATTATTATTTCCCTGCTGATTATTGATTTGGCTGTTGCTGCCCTGCTGGTTATTATTATCATTATTTCCCTGTTGATTATTATTTTGATTACTGCCGCCCTGTTGGTTATTATTATCATTATTCCCTTGCTGATTATTATTCTGATTATTGCTTCCTTGTTGATTATTATTATCATAATTTCCTTGTTGATTATTATTCTGGTTGCCGTTGCCTTGTTGGTTATTATTATCATTATTTCCTTGTTGATTGTTATTCTGATTATTATTTCCCTGCTGATTATTGATTTGGCTGTTGCTGCCCTGTTGGTTATTATTATCATTATTTCCTTGCTGATTATTATTCTGATTGTTGTTACCTTGTTGGTTATTGTTATCATTATTTCCTTGCTGATTATTATTCTGATTGTTGTTACCTTGTTGGTTATTGTTATCATTATTTCCTTGCTGATTATTATTCTGATTATTGTTGCCTTGTTGATTGTTATTGTCATTATTGCCCTGCTGATTATTATTCTGATTATTGTTACCTTGCTGGTTGTTATTGTCATTATTGCCCTGCTGATTATTATTCTGATTATTGCTTCCTTGTTGGTTATTATTGTCATTATTTCCTTGCTGATTATTATTTTGATTATTGTTGCCTTGTTGATTATTATTCTGACTATTTCCTTGCTGGTTATTTTCTGATCCCAGCTGATTGGAACATTTTCCAGTAACGGCCCAAGGGTGATTACAAGACAAAATATTTTGGTCCCATACAGTTCCTATTCCGCAAGAATATTCGTATCTTTGATAACCTCCACTACCATCAGGAACACATCGATAGAATCTGGTACAGTTCTGGTCATCACCAACGAAACCCTCATTTCTGCATTTCCCACCACTCAAAGACCCATGGTTACCATTTTGGTTTTGTTCTGGTGTACCATTGGATCCCTGATTATTTCCCTGATTTTGTTGATTGGAAGTTTGTTGGCTACCAGATTGTCCGTTATTCTGTTGATTTGAACCTTGATTATTGCCTTGGTTATTGCTTCCTTGTTGACTGTTATTTTGTTGGTTGTTATTCTGGTTATTTTGTTGGTTGTTGTTTTGTTGGTTGCTGTTCTGTTCATTACTGTTTTGCTGATTGTTCTGTTGGTTGTTTTGTTGATTGTTACTATTTTGATTGCTATTTTGAGCCGTAGTTTCGTTTGAAGCACATCTGCCACTTACAGCACTTGGGTAATTACAAGACGAAGATGATTCATCCCATACTGTTCCATCAGCGCAACTGAATTCATATTTCGTGAATCCACCTTTTCCATTTTCGACGCATCTATAGAATTTCCTACAAACTCTGTTGTCCCCAACGAATCCTGCAGATACACATTCATTATTTTCGATTTTCCCTGGACTTGGACTCGTATTGTTCTGGATGCTATTTTGTTGATTGTTATTGGATTGATTATTATTGGACGACTGATTGTTGTTCCCTGACTGGTTGCTATTGTTTGATTGATTGTTGTTGTTGGATTGGTTATTATTAGACGACTGATTGTTATCTCCTGACTGGTTGCTGTTGTTTGATTGGTTGCTATTGTTGGATTGGTTATTGTTATTGGATTGGTTATTATTAGACGACTGATTGTTATTTCCTGACTGGTTGCTGTTGTTTGATTGATTACTATTGTTTGATTGGTTGCTATTGTTTGATTGGTTGCTATTGTTGGATTGGTTATTGTTATTGGATTGGTTATTATTAGACGACTGATTGTTATTTCCTGACTGGTTGCTGTTGTTTGATTGGTTACTATTGTTTGATTGGTTGCTATTGTTTGATTGGTTGCTATTGTTGGATTGGTTGCTGTTATTGGATTGATTATTATTAGACGACTGATTGTTATTTCCTGACTGGTTGCTGTTGTTTGATTGGTTGCTATTGTTTGATTGGTTGCTGTTTCCAGATTGGTTATTTCCTGTAGATTGGTTATTGTTGTTCGTCTGACTATTATTATTGGACTGATTATTGTTAGATGACTGGTTGCTGTTGCCTGACTGATTATTCGAACCATTGTTGTTCCCATTTTGTTGATTTTGCTGATTCTGATTGGAGTTGGATGAGCTACCCGATGAGCTCTGTTGGTTGGAACCTTGGTTAGATGTTTGTTGACTTGGCTGCGCTGCGCTACAACTTCCACTAACAGCGTGAGGATGATTACAAGTCAAACCACTTTGATCCCAGACAGTACCAGTGGTACATGTGAATTCATATCTATCGTAACTTCCACGGCCGTTGTTCACGCATCGATAAAATCTACTGCAGTTTCTGTCATCGCCTATGAAGCCTTCAACCGTGCAAGTATTCGAAGAGCTTTGTTGATTCGAATTTTGCTGGTTGGAACTAGAGGAAGAACTGGAGCTTGAACCTGAAGATCCTTGGTTGTTGGAACTCTGCTGGTTCGAGTTGCTCGAGCTCTGTTGATTGGAAGAAGATGAACTGGAACCTTGTTGATTGGACGACCCTTGCTGGTTCTGATTCGATTGTTGACTAGAAGAACTCTGTTGGTTCGAGCCGCCTTGCTGGCTTCCATCAGGATTGGACGACTGGGATCCCTGAGAGCCTGCGGACATTTGTTGGTTTGAAGAAGAAGAAGAAGAATTATTCCATGAGGACGAGGATGATGATGAGGTAGAACTATTGCTACTACTACTGGACGAACTACTGCTACTACTATTACTGCTGCCGCTACTATTATTGCTCGAACTAGAACTACTTGTAACAATGGTGTTTCTAGCTGTAGCTGTGTCTTTGTTACCGATGCTGTTGCCACCACATTCTTCTCGGCTACTGGCGTAAGCGAAGTTGCAGCCGCTGATGGCCGGGTCGAACACGGTACCATCGCCGCACTCGAATCTAATGGCGGTCAACCTGCCGTTAGCATCTGGTATGCATCGGTAGAAGCCTCGGCAGCTCGCTGGGTCCGGTTGGAAGCCTTCGTTGGGACAAACGAAGGCTGTGGAGTATTCTATGGCTTGGCGTTTGGATCGAGCTGGCGACAGTTCTGGAAAAAAAGAAGTTGTGTTATAATGGAGAGATTGTTCACTTGCCATAGAATGGACGAAACATGGGTTATGGTATGATTGGCCATTGGGCCCACCTAGTATTTCCAGTCACATCAGAAACTGGTATTACCATCAGCAATTCCCTCACTGAGGAAGATTGTGCTATCAGAGTTTTTGCTGAGATATCTCTTGCTACCATTACAAGGAATCATATTACCCCTAAACATTTTCGAATAGAAGCAGCACCTTGAAAGTGAATTTCCTGCCACAGGAAGGTATACTGCTGTCGCTATCAGGCAGCCACTCTGGGACAGCATGATTTTTTCATAATTGTCCAGCTGAACTACTACTAGTGAGTTATATGCTTGTGGCTGCGAGGTTCATCGCATAGAACTGCACTCACTACCAATAATCGAACTGTCAGTCTGCCACGAAAATAATATTTGACGAACCTACTTGGGGTTATTTAGCGCCTACTTATCGTTATTCCATATTTTGCTGATTTGTCCCCTTCTATATAAGCATTTGTCACACATCTTGCTTGATCAATCATTCACAGTTGGGCACTTGATGCAAAACGTGCAAACCCATGTACAGGACGACAATCTCGACGACACGACAGTTACGAATACTTCCCCTTGAATTCAATTCATCATTTAGAATCTGAATCTAAATTCAAATGAAAAATGGAAACATTTTTGAACGAATGAAAAAATCTTCCGTGCCCCTTTCAGTGCTTTCGTAGATCTGAGTGCTTATTTGAATGATATCTATATGATCACCCATCAAGAGTAGCAAAGTTCCCTACCTACGATCATAACATTACCCTACTCCCATTATTAGATGCACTCACTAGCGGTAACAAAGTCAGATACCTACTACAGAAACATCGTCTTATAGCAATATATATATAGATGCACTAGCTATAGTGGCAGCAAGGTTCTATATCTAATAATCGCAGGTGGGTTATAATCAGCAAAGTCGACTTTATAATCACAGGTGATAATTCGCTTGTCCCCTATGCTATTAGAGATTCTTGCTGGGGTAATTCAATTTCTGACTATGGTTAATAAGAATTTTCCTCAGTGCTCTCAAAATCGAGTATATAGGCATGACCATGACAGCACATCTGCCATTCCTACAAATTTCGCATTAGAACAATGAATTCGGGTTCATTATAACAGAGGTGGCTATGAATTAATTGTATAGTGGTTTATAATGTGACTATAAAACTACCTTGGTATAAAAGCACCAGTTTACGCCTCGAATAGGAGTAAATAATAGTAGGCTTTATAGCTACTGGTGAAAAAAAAAATAGATAAATAAATGCTGACAATTGCGGCAACTCTGTTCATCCTGGATCTCTTAGTAATTAGATCTAGCTGTTGAATAGGTCAGTGGAAAAATCCACTGAAGTATATGTCAGGTAGTGCCATCTCTCAGCAGAGTGGTTTACTTGTAGTACCACTCTGTAGAGTATATACGTAAGGATCTGTACGTGTGACTATAGATGGCAGCACCATACAGTGTGTGTCGCGATCTCTTGATCCTACCTTCGAGCTTTGCCACTAGATGGCTACAACACGCCTAGAACATCATGTTGTACCCTGCGTCATGACCTAGTGATTGAGTTAATTTAATTTTTGGTCATATTCGGCGTGAGATATTGGTAATTTCCACTTTAATTTTTACCCATGAGTAAATATTACTTTTGCGTTGAAACGATGGAACGTTTAGTTTTTCTCAGCTAGGAGAGAACTTATGTCAGGCCCTGAAGGTCAATTTTTATGATAAAACATATCAAATTTTTTTTTCGTTTCAGAGTCACTAGGTCTTTTTATGGAACATATTAATTAACTTTGTCATCATTCTCTTCGAAGAGGTTATAGGTAAACCTCGAAATATGTCGAACAGCTCTTTATCAAAACTCGTTTGTCTATAGAAAACTTTGGAATCCTTTGCGAAAGGGAGTATTCCCAAGAACTCATAACCTCCAAAAGTTCAAAAAAAAATCCAATCCTGTCCCTATCCTCCCTAGGTAAACATTATAGGGATTTCCTTTCGTGCGATCCAAGCCATGAAAATAAATAGGTAGTATAATAATTCAATGGGGTATCAGTCGGCCTTTTTGATGGTATTTGTAATTTTAATAGCAAGCATACCCAGCAAACATGATTGAGCGGTAAATAGGCGGCCGATTGCTGGTAACTGCGGTTAGTTGTCGGCAGCGGCACACCTATGTCGTTAAAATGTTGAAACGACATCGGTTTTGCCGCCATGGCTGAACGTACGCATGTTTATAATGGATGTTTGTTATTCAGCCAGAAATTGCCCGTTTAAAATTCCCGACAATCGTGCCGATGTCGCTTTGACGCAGTATGTATGTTGTTTACAGGTCAGTGGTAACTGAACCAAACGCAATGTTGGCATCACTGGGTTCTTGAGCATTATTGGTAGTACTGCTAATTTATTTTCGTGTTTTAGTTCTGTGTCCGTAGATCGCGTCAGTTGTCTGTCACTTGTCTTCAGGTATTTGTTAAACGGCGTGATAATATTAATATTATTTAGAAAAAGTTGGTGAGTTTTATGATTGATCCCAGCAAACTATCGTCCGACATCAAGAATAATGATATATGTTATATAACAATAATTAAACTCGTTATTGTCTACCAATCCATTTTTGTGGTAATGATCTTGAGCTAAATATTTGTTCATTACCCTATATTATAACAATGATGCTCCAATGCGAAGTTCAGCTCTTTACCTATATTCGAAAAATATTTGATTCACAGTAATAGATCAAACACTGGAAAAGTAATGTGGCTAGAACATTATCAGACTAAACCTATTCTACGTCGTCGAATCAACAAGTTATGATAGGTATATCGTATATGATCAAATATCAAATATAATTGAAGTATTGTACTATTTCAATTCTGTTGACTGATGGATTCGTAATAGTATCTTTCAAGTTTCGCAGTAGCCTAGTGGTATAAGCGTCTGACAGTTGATTGGATATCCGTTCGATCGCAAGTTCGAGTCCGACTCCCGACTATATCTCTTTTTTATTTCTAACCGAATAGTGTCGGCAGATAGTCGGGCGGCCTACTAGCGGCCGGTGCGACACGGGCTAGCCGGGCCGCATATAAGCACAACGTACATCTATTTGGCATGCGGCCTGTGTCTAAGCTTTCTGATTGGTTGATGCCAAATAACAGTACGTTCTGCCATTGTTGAGTCAGAGTCATGTACGTTTTGCGCGTGAATTGAAAATGCATGTGTATGCCAGATAACAGTACATATTGTTGGTGTCGCGTCAGCGCCTTGTACGTTATGGCATTAAATTGAAACTGCAACAACTGCATGGGATATCAAAAATTTATTATAATAATGATAATACAAAATCGAAAATACTCATCACATTCACACATCGATAGTGCGTTCTAAAAACATAAATGTACAGGGTGTCCCACGACAATTAAGACAATGAATATCTCGAAACTCAAGAGTAGTAGAAGATTGTAATTTTGGGGTTGAATATTATATTACCCAATGAGCTTTACGTTTTCGGTCACGTGACATCAGATTCAAAATTATTAATGGGACAACCTGTTTATTTTGGAATTACTATGTTCCTCTCGATAAAACAATTCCAACAATCTATCACACTTGTAGCCTAAAACGATTAATTCAAGAACTATACCAGGTACTTCAATATCTCTTGTCCCACGGCGATTACTACAAACGTCTGAAACGAGCAGTTGCCAAATTATTTGAGTTTAGGGTGTCAATGTTTATGTGGGCAATCCTATATTCATTGTGATGATTAAAACGATGCAAAATTATATTAATCATTCATATTTTATTGAAGAGCGTAGTCAAAAAACTTTGGGACAAAGGATATTGACGTACCTGTAGTTTTCAAATTGATCGTTATAAATAGAGACTCAATTGTAATCGTTTTTTGAAATCGTTTTATCAGGAGGAATGTGAAGATGCCAAAATATACAGGTTGTCCCATTAAAAATTTTGAATCTGACATCACGTGACCAAGAACAAAAATCTCATTGGGCAACGTAGTAATATCGAAAAAAAAGTTCTCAATTGCTTTAATTTTCGACCCCAAAATTCACACGAATATTCCCATGAATACTTATTGTTCAATCAAACAGTCACGAAAGCTTCCACTTGTGAAATATCTATATACATACAAAGTCGCGCGTGGTCGCGCTGAACAATTCCTATTGCTTCTACCCACCCCTACGTCCTCCAAACCCCTAACGAAATCTAACAAAAAAAAAATCCTCTGTTACATCAAAACTATCATAAATATCACCCCACTTTCAGCATAGCACAGCACATAATAATTAATAAAACATTATTACTTAGCTATACTTACGAACACACAAAAAGTTTTAAATTGGGAGCACTTTCACGAACGATCCATTTCGTGTGAGTTAACCTAGAAAATTCCCGAATCCACATATCACATTCTTCTAGACTGTGTAAATCTCCATAAACTGTTATATTATCATTGTTAGTAACTCCATTCGTCTTATATTTGAAAGATTGGGGTAATTCCATATTGAAATAAGGTATTGAAATCAAACTCAACTAGCTATTCAACATATTCAACATGTATTCAACTCAATGATAGGATGCACGTGCTGCTTGCATAATAATGACTGACCATTGACCAAAAACAAAAACAAAAGCGCGAGCCCTATGCGCATGGCAAAGTGTACATCTATTTTAGGTATCATACGCAATTCGTACTGCCTATTTGGCGGCGAGATCTGCAGCAAAATGTACATCTATTTGGCGCCGGTATAGCAATGTGTACTGTTATTTGGCATCAACCAATCAGAAAGCGTAGATACAGGCCGTTTGCCAAATAGATGTACGTTTTGCTTATATGCAGCCGGGCCGCATATAAGCAAAACGTACATCTATTTGGCAAACGGCCTGTATCTACGCTTTCTGATTGGTTGATGCCAAATAACAGTACACATTGCTATACCGACGCCAAATAGATGTACAATTTGCTGCAGCTGCAGATCTTCTCGCCGCTAAATAGGCAGTACGAATTGCGTATGATACCTAAAATGGATGTACACTTTGCCATCTGCATAGGGCTCGCGCTTTTGTTTTTGTTTTTGGTCACTGGTCACTGGTCATTATTATGCAACCAGCACGTGCATCCTATCATTGAGTTGAATACCTAGTTGAGTTTGATTTCAATACCTTATTTCAATATGGAATTACCCCAATCTTTCAAATATAAGACGAATGGAGTTACTAACAATGATAATATAACAATTTATGGAGATTTACACAATCTAGAAGAATGTGATATGTGGATTCGGGAATTTTCTAGGTTAAATCACACGAAATGGATCGTACGTGAAAATGCTCCCAATTTAAAACTTTTTGTGTGTTCGTGAGTATAGCTAAGTAATAATGTTTTATTACTTATTATGGATTTAAATCTGTGCTGGAAGTGGGATGATATTTATGATAGCTTTGATATAACAGAGGATTTTTTTTGTTAGATTTCATTAGGGGTTTGGAGGAGGTAGGGGTTGGGTAGAAGCAATAGGAATTGTTCAGCGCGACTTTGTATATAGATATTTCACAAGTGGAAGCTTTCGTGACTGTTTGATTAAACAATAAGTATTCATGGGAATATTCGTGTGAAGCAGCGAATGTGATCAATCAGTGAGATTCGTTTTTTGTCGAGCTTTGGAAAATGTGTAGGTACCTCTATTTCATGTTAGTATAGGTATATCAATTTCATTGATGTAATTTATATGTATATATTATTAACATTATTGTTCATTCGATGTTTCAGTTTAATCTTGATAAAGAAAAAAAAACATTTTCGAAAGCTCGTCAAAAAACAAAGAAGTCTCTTACTGATTGGTCACATTCGATTGCTTCCCAAGAAAATGTATATGTGTATAGTGAATACAGTGTGTTTCATTAATAATTGAAGATATTTGAATAATTTAATTGAACATATTTCGACTATAAAATCTTGAGCTCAAAATATTAATAAGATTTAAACCAAATCACATAGATAGAATGTGTCTCCTGTCTGAGTAACAGCCAACAGGGTGTTTTATTAGTTACTGTAATCAAAAAATTGTATATTACGTTATTATGCTTTTTTTTTGTAAGTGAGTTAATGTTGTGAATCATCTATAGGGTATTGAAAACTTAGTATAGTATATAGGCGGTTCTTTTTTCAAGAAAGTTTATATTTATATACCTAACTTACCTGTATAATGAATATACGTATCTTTTACAGAAAATAATATTTTTGCCATCACAGCTCATTCAAAAAGCGAACCAACACAAACAAGAAATCAAAAAAATGTTGAAGGCTGAAATTACAATAGTGGTTAGGAAAACTACAAAAAATACAATCGCAAAGCATCTACATGTTAAGGTGAGGAAAAGACTGAGAATAGAGATGTTATCTGATGTCACGTGAGCGAAAACGTAAAGCTCATTGGGTAATATAATATTCAACCCCAAAATTACAATCTCCTACTACTCTTGAGTTTCTAGATATTCCCTGTCTTAATTGTCGTGGGACACTCTGTACATTTATGTTTTCCCGTAGAACGCACTATCGATGTGTGAATGTGCTGAGTATTTTCGATTTTGTATTATCATTATTATGATAAATCTTTGAAATCCCATGCAGTTATTGCAGTTTCAATTTGATGCCATAACGTACAAGGCGCTGACGCGACTCCTACAATATGTACTGTCATCTGGCATGCACATGCATTTTCAATTCCCGCGCAAAACGTACATGACTCTGACTCCACAATGGTAGAACGTACTGTTATTTGGCATCAGCCAATCAGGAAGCGTAGATACAGGCCGTTTGCCAAATAGATGTACGTTTTGCTTATATGCAGCCGGGCCGACGATGTATCATGATTGTGGCCCGCTGATGTTGACTGTCGGCAGTTTTTGGAGGGCGTCTAAAGGCCCGCGCGATACATGTTTGCTGGGTAGTCTAATTATGAGGCCGTCTTATATCCAACATGGCCGATGAACATTATTTTTAAAGCGGCAGCCCATTATCCTTGATGGTATGGAGTCCCTAATGGTTCAGGCTGCATGTAGAAGCAGGACTTATTTCCATCTAACGTACGAATACTGAGAATGCTTCATTTTCAGTGGCGTATCACTGAATTTTCACTTCGAAAACACATTTCGAAATTTGTCTCAACAAAAATTTTCAGATTCATTCCGAAATGTG